TCACTGAGCTTGCTAGACTCTCCTGTTCCCCTTGCTGGACTGATTTTTGCAAACTGCCTCCAGGCATAAAGGATTGTGGTAGAATTCAGCTTGTTTGTTTCCCTTCTCTCATGGATTACATCGCTGCTTGTTGTACAATGCCTCAAAATACTTGTTTCCTGTGTTTTATTCACTTTTCTAGCTGTTTATGGCAGGAAGGTAATCTCAGATCCTCATGGCTGATAGGTGAAGTTTTAAATAACTTCTTAATTGCTGAGTGAATGATCGCTTCAGAGCCCCTGTATTGAAGTCTTTGGATTTGATACTGTTAAGTTCCCTTTTGCTTGAAAATTTTCTTCTTGTCTTTCAGCTACCACCTTTTCCTGGTAGACCTACTGTTTCTGTCCCTTCTGCTTCATTCACTTAGTCTGGTCCTTTAATCATATTAATTTCAATAATAATAATTATAATAGCAATAGAAGTCACCATGCTAACTTTAAACCTATATTCTCATTTTAATTCGTAAAGCAACTGCTCAGTATTTTTCAGGATTCTCTTTCTTCCTCCTTTTATTGTCTATACTTTAAGTTATTGGCCCCATCTATATACTGATGGCTTTTACTTTTGTATTTTTAGCCCTTATTTCTGTACTGAGTTCCCAATCTACTTATCCAACAATCTATTAGTATTGCCACTTGGATTTTCAAAAGGCTTGTCAACCTAATACAGTCAAAATGGACCTCCTTTTTGCCCGTCTCTTTCTATCCTTTTTTTCATCTTGACATTGATCTATAGTAAAAAACATACACACAACAAAAGCAAGCTGTACTTTACATAAGCATCAATCTACACATTAACCTGATTGTTTCCTGAGTCTGTCTCTGCTTCTCCGTTCCTACTGTCTTGTCCTGTTGCAGCTCTCTTCATCTTCTGTCTGTACAATTGTACCAGCCTCCTAGTTGTGTCCCTCTAAAATCTATAATGTTTTAAAAATTTGAATCAGAATGTGCTTTCTGGCTTCAAGTCTTCAGTAGTTCCCCAAATGCTACTGGATAACATCTGTTCTTTTTAACAAGTCTCTTTGTTCTGTCACTTGCTTCTCCTTAGGTCTTTCTCCTTCTGCTCCTTCCGCGTCCTCTGTGAGTCAGCATCGTAGACAGCACCACACAGTTTTCCCAGCTCTGTTCTTGCTGCCTCCTGTCTCCCCAACTTTTACGGCTAACTCTTATTTATTTGTTTCTAAGGCGTAGTCACTTGTTTCTAGGTCTCTTCCTTTTGCTCCCATAGTGTCCTGTGCATGTGTAGCTCTAGTATTATGTCTATTATGCATTTAAATGATCTGTTTGTTTCACTTTTCTTTACTGTATTCTGAGGTCTTAGAGGACATGAGATTTTAAAAATTTGTATTTGTAACCTAAGCACCTAGCTAAGTACACAGTGCTCAACTCATTTGTAGATAGTTTCTATTTTAAGTAGGAACACAGCTGTCCCTCCTTTTTCCCAAACTAGAAACACGGATGTTTTCCTATTGTTTTCTCTCTCTGTCACATCTAGCCAGTTTCAAGTCCTTAATTTTGCTTTTATTCAGGGATTTGTATTTTCATACTTTTGTTCATGTTTGTTCATTCCTTCATTCATTCCTCCAACAAATTTCATTAAGTGCTACTATGTGCTAGATAGTGTACTAGTTATACTGCCTGCTGAATATTGCATTAAATTTATATATTAATTTTTAGAGAATTAGCATGCTTATAAAACTTAGTTTTTTCATTTAGGGACAAATGTTTGTTAAGTTTCATTTTAGGTACCCAAGGAAAGTTTTACAGATATTCTTGTTTGATTTTGTACATTTCTTTTAAGGCTTATTTGTAAATGTTTAACAGTTCTTTTCTTATTATGAATAAGATTTTTTCTGTTATATTTTCTAATTTGTTCTCATGTATGGGAAGTGGATTAGATGATCATGTATCTGGCCAATTTATTAATCTCTCAGTAGCTTTCACGGACTTGGGTTTTTAACTATTGGTTATTTCAAATGACAGGGTTTTTTTCCTTCTTTGTATTTATAAGTTTAATTTATTTTCCATATCTTAATACATTGGTTAGGGCCTCCAATACAATGTTGAGTAAAAGCAATGATAGTTTGCATCTTAGTATTATTCTTGACTTTAATGAAAGTGCTTCTCATCTGTCTTGTTAACTATGAATGTTTAAATATTAATAATTTTAAAAAGTGAAATTTT